CCCTGTCTCTATATTTCCGCTCTCTGAGGCGCACCTTTGAGAGGTGTCAGTCCCATTTACACCTTCGAGAGGTGTCAATCGGCGGCTCACCTTCACAAGGAGTCAAATCACAGGTCCCCTCCTCTTCGCCCCAGGGCGCCGCGCTCGGGAATCGTTGTCCCCAAGGAGCCGCTTGCGTCCGCGGTGGCAGCGGGGGGAAGTGGGTCAGTGTGTCGGCGCAGGTGGTCGGCCGCGAGCCAAGAGCGCTCGGCGCCAGCGAGCGGGCGGCAGTGCCGCGCGGGGCGAAGCGAGCGTCGCCGCGTGCCCCTTGGGGACGTTTCGGAGCTCTGAGGCACCCCGTGGGCCGTGCTGGGGCTCTTGGTTATCCCCAGCCCAACCGGGCTGCTCCGCGGTGTCCTCGGCTTGGGAACGCGGCTGGAAACGCTGGCAGAGCCGCTCGCGGGGATTTCTAGCGAGCTGGGCGCGTTGGCTGGCCCTGAGCGGAGCGTGAATCACTGGTTTATAGCAGGGGAGCGCCCTGGTGAGTCCCGTAGGTCTCTCTCCACGTGGACAGCGGCCACAGCAGCTCCCCGTCCCCCCGGTGTCCCCTCGTGCAGCCCCGTTGGAGAGGGACGGGGACGGATGCTTTGGCGAGCGGGAATGCTGCAGGGAGCCCCTATAGGGAGGGCTGCGAGGGCAGGTTTGGAGGAGGCCGCTGGCGTCGTGTCCTCGGGAACGAGGGGGCATCCGAGGACGAGGCTCCGGCTCCGAGTGCTGCCGCAGCGGTGACTTTCCTCCGTCCTTATCCGTGTCGGGATGCAGAGAGGTTCCCATGGCGCACGCTCTGCAAGGACCCCAAGGTGTCCCAGAATTGCTCATCCTCGGGAGCTTTGCAGCCACTGCAACCCCATGCTGGAGGCGCTGCCGCCTGCTCCGTCATCGCTGCGGTCTCCGCATCCCGCCGACACGCGTGCCCCGAGCCAAGCGCCTCCGGCTCCTCCTTGCGCCCGTGCCGAGTCCTGCTCCTTGCTCCGCGCACGCGGCGCGTCCGCCTCCCGCGCCGGTTGCTTTGGTGGGGACAGTCCCGGAGGCCCGTGTCCGTGCCCGTTCCTGCTTCGGGTTCGGAAGGGAGTCGCTGCAAACCTCGAGCTCTGCTTCACATCATCTGCGGTGTCCTCGGGCAGAATTCCAGCGCCTGGTCCAGGGGGCTCGTTTTCCTTTTTTTTTTCCCAGGAAGCAGCTGAGAAATGGGGAGCAGCTGCGAGCCGGGGCCAGGTGTCCTTCC